AGGAGAGGGAATGGCCTCAGGCTGGGSCAGGGGAGGCTCAGGTTGATTAGGCGGGAAGAATTTCTTCACCGAAAAAGTGACCGGACACTGCAAGAGGCTGTTTGCAGGAAGCTTAAACGCTTTAAACATACTGAGCATKGCACTCAGTGCCGCGGTATGGTTCAAAAGTTCGTGTTCATTCAAAGCCTTGACTCGTAAATCTCACAGGTCTTTCCCAACCTTATTCTGTGAGAATAGATCACATCAACCGAGACACACTTCCACTACTTATTAACAGACAAGGCGCCTAACGGCTTGTGAAGGCTGCGAGATATAAAAGCACTACGTGATTCACCCCAACACCACAACGCACAAGCCGCCAACGTGGCATTGCCGCGGCCCCGCCCACACCGCCGCCGTTTTATGCGTGCGGAGCGAACCAAGCTGAGGGCGCAGGACGGGGGTGTGACATCCCCCCCCGTGAGGGGTCGTTGGACCCGGCCGTGGGAGACGTGGCAGGGCGCGGCGGCGACGCGGAGGTAGCTGGGAGTTGCAGTCCGAGGCGGCGCCGGCCGCGGCCTCCCTTCGTGTATCCCTGGGACAGGAAAAGCCGGGAAGAGGTAGGACGGGAGGGAAGGATCGGGCTCGGTGAGGGCGCTTTCGGCGGCGGGAGGACGCGCCGTGTTGTGACCCGTCGTGCCCGGCGACGGGGAGGAGCGGCCGGAGGGCTGGGCCGGGCGGCGCCGGGGCCCGGAGCGGCTGCGGGAGGTGCGGGGCTCGCTCCTCGTGTTGTGACCCGGCTCGTCCTTGCGGGGCTGCAGCGGCTCCTGCGCTCCGTGTGCTGCCAGCGCCGCGCTCTGAGGTGAGGGTCAGGGAGCAGCACTGCGCAGAATTCCCGGTGGGATTTATTCCGGTGCTTTGCTGGGTGCCCGGTGCCCTCCTGCTCTTGCCTCCGGCCGAGCTTCCTTCTGCGGGAGAGTTTGGATGCTCGGTTGATTGGAGCCTCGGGCTGTGATTTCCAGCCCTGCAGCGGGGAATGGGAGTGCTGGTCCTGGTAAAATGCCTGCGGTGTCACCCTCACCCTTGGGAATCCGTAAATGCCGGATTGAAATGGTGCTCCATGAGCTTTGCTGGTTTATTGTGAGTCTCTGGAGGCATAATTTGCTCTTCATATGATTTATTTGCTTTTATTATCACATTAAAAAAAACCTGCGTTATTTCTTTTGGGAGAACACCTCTGAAAGTGCTGGAGCTGTTGCATCACATCCTGTGATATATCCATAGCCTGGAAATGATGGGGTGTGGGAATAGTTGGTGCAGGTTGTTGGAATGGTTTGGTTCTTATTTTGGTGCTGTGGTGGTGTTGGATGGCATTGCTGCATGATGTTGTGGATCAACAGCTCTCCTGCTGTGGCCTCCACCGGTATCTGGGATTTGTGACACTGAAGTATTTGATAGCAGGGAGAGGATGGGGGCAGTGTGCTCTGCTGCAAATCCTGAGGGGTGGCAGTRGCACTGAGAATGTGTGGGAAGAAAAGAAAATTCTGATAGGATTAGGAATGACCTTTGGAAAAATAGAACTTGCTGGTTTTATGGTGTTTATGAACTCTTGTCTGCGCTAGTGACAAAGCAAGGCCAGCAGCCCTTGTTATCACACCTGGTGTTTCCAGCTGTCCTGGTCTGTGGTAGGTGTCAGGCGTGCTGGTGGAAAGGCTTGCTTGGTGTTGAGTTTGGKTTTTTTTTAAGGTGAAAAAGTTATGCAGGTGTTAATGTTATTTATGCTATGAATATGGACTCACAGAATGGTTTGGGTTGGAATGGACCTTAAATCCCATCCAGAGCCACTCCCTGCCCTGGTCAGGGACACCTTCCCCTATCCCAGGCTGCTCCAAGCCCTGTCCTGCCTGGCTTTGGACACTTCCAGGGATCTAGGGGCAGCCACAACTTCTCTGGGCACCCTATGCCTGGGCCTCCCCACCCTCRCAGGGTAAGATTKCTTCCTAACATCTAAACTAAACCTRTTCTTTTTCAGTTTGAATATTTTTCACTATCTATTGGTAATTAAATGCATTAGATTCTGCATTTAGCTGTACTGCAAACCACAAAAACCAGCACATTGCACAATTACTCATTTTCAGGATTTTTGTGTCTTTGAAGTGCCCATGYTAACTTGGAGGAAGCTCAACTTCAGCAGAGCTCCAGAGTAACAAGTGCACAGTAGTATTTGCCTGGTGCAATCAGCTTCATTATGAATGGGAGAATAATTGACTTCGCTTCAGTTTCCTATTCTGAAGCATTAATCAGGAAGTTACCTGGTACCTCAGGTTCAAGTCAAGGGATGACCTCACACACAGGTGCATTGTTCAAGGTGTGACATCAGTAAAGAACCCAAAGTCTCAGAAAGCAGGTGTAAGAGAGTTCTGAGGTTTTGGTTTGTTGTTTTGTTTTGTTGGTTTTTGTTTGTTTTTTTTGTTTGTTTTGTTTTGTTTTGTTTGTTTTTTTTGTTTCTTTTTCCTTTTCCTGATTACCTCTCTTTAAGACTTTGGACTTTGGATCAAGTCATTCAACACAAGGTGATTAAACTAATGATCCCTTTGGCTTCACTGAGACTTTGTGTGACCTCTAGGACCTGCCTGTGTTTTCCAGACCAGAGCCTGAAGGGAGTTTTATCCCTGACTTAGTGCTCTCCCTTTCTAGAGCAGAAAAAACAATGCCAGGGATTTTTTGGATGAAAGTTTTAAATATGCTCAGGGTCTGGCTCTGTTTTCGTTTAATTTTTTGAAAAGTGTTGTCATTTTGTTTGATGTCAACTGCGCCTAATTCTGGACAGTTGTCAGCTTGTGCTTAGCCATGAGCAGTGTCTGCAGCCAATGCTGTCCAAACTTAATTAAAAGTTGTGCCTACTGTGATTAAAGTCAAGAAGTTTAGTGGCATTTCAATTTAGTATTCCAGCTAAGTGGAATATTATATTTCATTTTAGGCTTTATTTAAATACCAGTTTCCCTTTTTAGTGTACTGAATACATTGTGGTTTCTTTTTTGTGGATTTCTGTTTTGTTTTGTTGGTTTTGTTTGTTTTTTAATAGCAGGAGCACCTACTGATATAGAAGAAGGGATCAATTAAAGATGACTGAAAATACAACTCATTAGGTATATTTTGAAGGATAGCTGATTCTAGATAATGTGTTGTTATCCACATAAAATTTGCTAATCTCCATTTGTAGGTAATCTTATCATTAGCTGTGAATTTCTGTATTTTGGAGTAATAACCTGAAGAATGCTTTTGAAGTGTGGTTGTATCATTAAGATTATTGCAAAATATTAGCACAAATGTAATTACTTCCTATTAAACTAAAGTGAAGAGATGAGTAATTTGTCAGCTAAGCCTTTTAGTCTCTAAATCAAATTATTTCATTCCTGCTTTTAGCAAAAACCCTGTTAAAATTTTAGACTGGTTTTCTCTTCAGTATATACCACCTATTTCCCTAGTTTGGGAATTAGGTTAATAGCTGAGATTTGGCATTAGGTTAATGGATGAGTTTCAGCTGGTGAAAATMAGTAGAAATAATTTAGAGACAGTCTTTTTGGGTATGCTTTTTTTTTGTGTGTGTCATCTGAGGGTTTAGCATTATCCCTAYAGTGCCTTCATTGTACTTTAAAAGGTTTTTTTAACCACATAATTGATCAAAGCAGAGCAAGATCCACACTTCTGCTTCCTAAAGGGTTTTAAGGWTCTGATCATTTGAAATACAGTCTTTCTGTATTTCTCTTTTCCATGTCCTTTCTTTTTTATTTCCATATAAAAGAAAACCAGGATTTTCTTCTACCAAAACGTGGCATTATCAAATTTGCCGTTTACAGTCACCAATCACTAGATGGCAGTACGGATATTTTCACCTAATTCTCTGTGGTTCAGAGAATTAGGTGAAAATTCTCTGTGTTTATCCTTCCTTTTAGTAAACCACAATTAATTCTAGATTACAAGAAGGCACGAAAGTTACTTCCTTAAGAAGCTAGGCTGAGTTTTCAGGTGCTCCTTGTTGCAAATTATGTATTTGTGGCTTGGATTGCAAAGAGATACTACTATAACTTTGGGATTTTTTCACAAATCACTGAAGACAGTCCGGTTCTGCACTCAGCAGTCATTAAGGAATTTTAAGCTGATTGTACTGAGACACTTTTCCCCTGCATCTCACCTGAAGGAAGTTGGKAATCTTTGTTGCTGGAATCTTTGTTGAGGACTGAACACTGTTAATAGGTTGCTTGGTTTCTTTCCCTTGTGTTCTTCTTCTTCCACTCAAATGCTTCCCCATTCCTCAGACACAGCWGGTTTTGGGGAGGCCATTTATGTTCATACATATTCTGTAGGATCATTTTAATAATGTATGATGCTGGATTATTTCAACACAATGAGCTATTAACTTCAARTTACCTACTGTACCTCCCGCTTTCCTTTTACCTGTTCCCATATCTCGTCTTTACACTTCATTTTTTCTTTAAATTATCTACATTTTTCTAATGCAGTACGTGCAAACTACAACTGGCTGATGTTGAAAAATCAGGGTGCAGAAAGCTGTTACTTGTGCAGGCTTCATATCAGTCAAAACATCATTTACATCAGTTCCATATGGGATTTTTATCGTATTTCAGCAACTGACGTGATTTGTCTCACATCTTGGATTACTGTTTCTGTTTTTCATCTTTCTTATTGTGAAGTTGAYAGAGAAAACCAGCTACAGAGTAATTTATATTTCTGCTAATACCTGACTTTCTAAATGTCAGTTGACTTCTTGGGRGGTTGCCCCTTCTCTCTTCCCCCGTCACCACCACTGCAATAGGTTTCTGAAGCTTTGAAAAATCCTTGCRCATAGTTTCTGAAAAGCTGCCGTGTGTGGAACTTTATCAGTCATTCTGCATGGCCACAGAAGTAGTAAGCACCCCTCAACAGCTTTTAATCATGGCATTAGGTCAAATCAAGCAGCAGATTGGAAGAACCACGAAAAAATGTTTCTAGGTTTTGGCAAGTGATTACTTTAATTGCTCAATGGAAAATTCTTTCATGCTTTGCAGTGTATAACTGGAAGAATAACTTAGGAAATATCTCTGTTCAGAGGAATGTAAACTCCTGTYGATTGATTAAAAGATAAAAGTCTTAATATTGCAAATTCTTGCACTTMGTAAAGTTTAATGGAAGAAACTGCACTTCCTTTCTGAGGGATGGTGAGATGTACTTACTCTGCAAGGACAGTCTGGTCACCACCAGGCAATTACTGACCCTTTCATCCCATCTCAAGAGAAGCCTTTAAGTGAATTAAAGATGCTCAGAACCCAAAATCCATCTGGCRTAAGAGTTTTCTTGAAGAGTGCTGCCCATGAGCCAGGTCTACTTGCTTTCCATGGCTGGGCTCAAGCATTTGATCCTGAATAATTTAATGCAAATCGTACTGATTTGTCAGAGGGACTGTGATTTCTCCTGTTTGATTTTGATGCTTCATTTGTTTTTGAAAACTTTGTGCACTTGTCAAGACTGACCCTGCTGTCCTGCTGCCTGGCTTTTTCAATTTGGTAGTAACAGTAATTTTTCCTCCACATTGAACTAAGAGTTGTGTATACATTTGCAACAATGATAAGGAAATGAGACATTTTTACTTCTTTTTTTTTTTTTTTTAAGAGGAAAGCCCTGTATTTGTGTAAGTAGAGTTCATTTTTAGCGTGAATATTTTTATCCAGCATGTTATCTAAGCCTTTTCATCTGCAAATTTTTAAGGGGATAAAATGGCACTCCTCAATAGCCACTGATGGAATGGATATGGTGAAAAATGTTTTGAGCCTGTCTATTTTTCGTATATATTACTACCCTATATGGGATTTTTGTTGTAATAAAATTTCTTTTAGGGAGTGGTACAGTTCACTGCTGTGTCGTTTACCAGACTTGTGAGGAAGCAGCACTTTTTGTAAGCTGCAACTCCACTGAAGAATAAAAATCTCATGGTGTTCATGAAAATCTTAGTTTTTCCATTTTTCTTCTCCTAAGTCCTTTTACATTAATTTAAGATTGTTAAATAAKCATAGAGTTTTATTTTTTTAGAAGTATTGTATTTTAAAGGTTTACTCAGGAATGTTAAAAGATTCTTCTGGCCTTCAGAAGAATCATAAAGTCTTCTATTACTTCCACTTTTGATGATGTTACCAGAGAAGTGTGGTGTGCAGATTTTATAGGAATTGGCTGTACTGGAGAACTTGTTCACTGTGATGTGATTATGACTTTATTCATGCTGGAAGTAACAGATCCTGGTTGGCATTGCCACAGCTCAATAATGCAGCAGAACTGTACCCTGTAGTTAAGTTTTTCCTGTAATGGGATATGGGTTTTGTGATTTGTAATTACTTCTCTATTGCTATTCTTTTAAGTACCACCAGTACATATTGGAAGCAGTAGCTGGGCACACACAGTAAGGTTTTTAGAAACAGTCTTGGAGTTTGAGGTATTATCACAGTGCTAAAAATAAAGGGCAGATGCAGGAGAAGGGAGACACAGGATAATTGTGTACTTGAGGTAAGTCAGTGCTTTTCTTTTTTTTTCCTTCTAGAGTTGGCATTTGAATTACTTTTGAATTTGCTCTTTTCAGGAGTGTGAACAACGATGTTGGGGCCTTTGCATTCTTATTTAAAACCTTTTCCCTTTCTTCTCAAAATGGACTTCATTTTTTTTCCTCTCACAGCTTTTTGTAGCTGAAGGAAAATGATGGAAGAGAGTGGGATAGAGACGACTCCCCCTGGCACGCCCCCTCCAAGCACACCAGGGGAGGCTACTGCTGCTGCCACACCTGTCACATTAGGTACAGAAACCTTGATTCATGTCTTTTGAAGTACTACAAAAACGTTGCAATCAGCATAATTGCAGTTCTCTTCTCCGGGCTAATTGGAAGAATTTAAATYGTTGCTTAATCATGGAAGTGTGTTCCTTTTCCATAATATATCTGATACCACACAGAATATTTTAAGCACTTTATTTTTAAATTCTTGAAACTGTTGTAGGACGCAACATGGGTGCACTTTTTTTTGTAAGAATGCAGGGTCAGGGAAATAATTCCTTGTGGCATAGTGCATAGTCAGATGAGCAGCATAGAAGGGAGTTAAAACAGATTTACAGTCCTCTAGGGGATAGTGGTAAATCTGAGCAATCACTTGTGTTTTAATACCCATAGAATCCCACATGGTTTGGGTGGGAAGGGACCTTAAATCTTGGGGACACCTTCCCCTAACCCAGGGTGCGCCAAGCCCTGTCCAGCCTGACCTTGGACGCTTTCAGGGATGAGGCAGCCACAGCTTCTCTGGGCACCCTCTGCCACCCTCAAAGGGAACAATTTCTCCCTAATACCCCATCTAAACCTGCCATCTCTAAGTTTGAAGCCATTTCCCCTGTCCTGTCACCTTCCAGCTCTCCTGTACCTCCTTCAGGTTCTGGAARGTTCTCTAAGGTCTTACTTGGGGGTGGTAGTCAGAGCCCATTTTCTGATTTTTCAAGATTCTGAACACTATATTTGAGCACCAGGTACTGAATTTTTGGGCACATTTGATATTGTTGAGTCAGACTTGTGCAGTCTCACCTGCCAAGTGCTAAAGGAGGAACATACTGGSAAGATCTGCCCACTATAAGAGTTCTATAATAAAAACAATTTTTAAGTTAAAACTGTAGAAGTGTAACCTCTGATGGAGCAGTTGCTTTAGCTAGGATAAAAATGGATTCTGGAGCAGGGCTGCAGGAAAGTTACTACACATGGAATGTGTTCACTGCCTCATTCATAGACAAGGAAAGAAACCACAGCCAGAAGTGGATTAAGTGCTATAGGGTGTCATCACTGAGATTAATTTTATAAAAACGGTCTTTTTTTACAGCATTTTGTAATGAGATAGGGAGTCACCAGGAAAGATTGGGATTTTTTAAAACATGGCACAGAGGTTTGCTGGCCAGCACTAGCAAGGTCTGTAAAAGAGTTGTTTAACTTAACGTGGACATGAAGTTTTTTGCATTGCTTTTTTTTTTTTTTTTCCTTTTTTTGTTTTAACAAAACATCAGATTTGCTGATGTTTYCTGTGGTGACAAGAGACTGTCAGCAGTGTATTACCTACTAGATACGTTCAAAAGATAAAATGCACTTGTCCCTTCCAGGTAAAGGTGACATTTCAACAAGGAGTGATATAGGAAGTACTTTCGGAAGAAGTTTTTGAGAAACCATTTCCAAAACTGATATTTGGAAGTACTTCCAAAATTATTCATTCCTKCTGAAATCAATGCAAGTGTTGCATAAAAACTGCCAGATCTGTAGACATCAGCCTGCAAAGAGAATTTCCTGGCCTGTGTAAAGATCTTCCAAACAATTTCCATGAGATTTGAACCCACTCATTACAAACACAGTAATGCAGCACATTCATTTGCAAGGACAGTTGATGGGCATCAGAAAGATGAAAATTTGCTGGCTAAATTTCAAGGAAAACTTTGATTGAYGAGTGGGAGTGGAAAATTAATAGGATGATACAGCAACTATAGCCACTTCTTCCATGTGGGTCTTTGTAAGGTCTTTCTTTCCAGCCATGGTAGCCCCTAAGGCAATGGAGTCTGAATGTGCAACCAGCCCATCACAAGGTGTTACACCAAGATGTGCAGTGAAGTTTCTTCACTTGCAATGCTCACCCTAAAAAGTCACCATCAATGATTGAATTATATTGTATGTTAACCATTGTTAATATACTGTAATATTGTATCAATAGTATATTATCAAAATGATTTTCAGTGGAAGCAGAATTTTTTTTTCTATTTTCTGGAAAAGAATTGCTATTTTTCATTGGTTTTTATCATCACTTCTAAATTTTTTATTGCATATGTYTTGTAGTATAGCTACTGGTACAGTGGAGCATGTAAGCAATATRTAAACAAATACATTTACATGGGAGGGCATTCTTCTTTTTTTTTTTTTTTTACTGCTGGATGTGTCTGACTAAGTTTGGAGACCATGGCATTGGTGTAATTTGCATATAATTTGATTGTGATTGGTGTTTAGGCTTAGGCCACTGAGATGCTTAAGCTGGTCCAACATGTTAATGCCACTAAAAATGTCAGTTTCTGTTTTCCTGACTTAGCTTCCTGGTTAAACTTGGTTATAAGAGGAAAATTGGCTTATCCAAGGATCAGATGAAGGTGTGACTGAAACAGAGAAAGTAAAGGGTTTAAGAAGATGATGAGTGGCAGAGAAGAGAGGGCTGCCTTGTGTTCAGTCCATTTTATGGTTTTTAGACTTCTGRAACAGCTCCCCCCTTTCCCAAATATTAGCAGTGTGTTTTATTCTTAAAGATGAGCCCTTCCTGCTCAGTTGATCATCAGCTGATCCACCAGTCACTCAGGAAGAACAAAACTGGCTAGAAATTTCTGAGGCAGACTTCACCTGCTCTAAACTCTGTAGTCAAATGTGGGCTTGTCTTTTTAACATAATGGCAAGTAGGGTCATTCAGGAAGAATAGATGTGTCTTACAAGATACTGACACCAAAGATTGAGTCCAACTGGTGGCGTATGAAAACTCCACAGAATTAAAATTCGTTTTGGAGGAAAAACAAAACCCAGACCAGGTCGCAACTTACTTGTGAAATGTCTGAAAAATTATGTAACTGAATCACTGAGATTAAGGCTTCTAAAATCCCTTTTTTCCCCCTCTTTTTTTTTTTTTTT